GAGAGAGAGAGAGAGAGGAACGAAACATTGAGTATTTTGTCCAGGCGAAATTTATGTACTGACAAGAAACGCGACGAGGCATCAAAGACTGAACAACGCATCGTCGACAAAAGATTATTCCGCAGTCATGAAAGTCATCAAATAACTGAGTGTTTGTTACTAACAAGAGGCGAGTACGTCTGTTTCTTTGGAGGTGAGACACAGTCTTCGACGACACTACCAACACACGTTTCTGTAATTTTAACGACATGGCCAGTATGTAGAATTCATTCTGTCAGCCGCAGACAGTCCAAGCGTAGGTTTCTATGTGACTCGGGTGAAACCTCGAAGCGAAGGTTTTCAGATCAATAGGAGAAGAACAATTTCTCGTCTTTGTATTGCAGCAAACATGTATTAATTTCGTTGCCGTGCTCTTATGTTAGTTTACTTTGTTTCATTTCTCGAAAGTAACTGCGAGCTATATGCTTAGTTCTACGATATAAATCTCAAGGAAGTTTTGTTATACTGTATATATTTTTGATAAAAAAAAAAAAAAAAAAAAAAAAAGGTTCCTTTTTTGCTGCCTTTTCACACTGTTTGAAGTTCTCAAGTTTACACCTATGTTACACTTACTTGTTGAGTAACATTTGTCAAATACAATGATAATACTTGCTTTCCTTTTCTTTCTACGTTCTATATTCATCTGTGCAATAATGCTTCAGTTTCACTAAAAAAAAAAAAAAAAAAAAAAAAAAAAAAAAAAAAAAAAAAAAAAAAAAACGCAAATGCCAAATGCCGTACAAATAAATCTTTCGCAGTGAAGACTGTATCTTTCAAGTACTACTTGACAAACAGTAAAACCAATCTTTCTTTGCTTGAAAGCGCGTGATAGTTCAAACTATGAAAACTTGGGCCATTGAAGCGTCTAAGATCTCAAAATGAATTCTCGTTTGGGAACACTGTTCGAATCGTCTAATGACGGTTTTTGAATATTTACAATGTCGAACGAGCGAGAAATTATTTCCAAAATAATTGTATGTCAACTGAAAGTGTGAATTAAATAACAATAATCTTTGTGTGTTGCGTTGATCGTAAAATATCTCTTCGTATATATAGTGGTTTGTAACTAGCAGTACAATTGAGTAGAAGGCAAGATTCTGCGAATGAAAATAAGATAAAATTTTTTCGAGTACAAAGCTTTGTTTCTGAAAATTTACCAACTGTACTCAATTTTAGCTAATTCTGGACTGGTCAAGAATGAATAACACACGAGGCTAATTTTTCCATAAGACGTTCGAGAAAATTACGTGAATATCTACTAACTAAACCAATTGTGAACTGAATATGTTCAATGTTTATTTTCTTAAAATGGAAAGATCTTTTTTACATTTTTCTTTTTTTCCTTATTTTCCTAGCAATTATTAATTCCTTTCTAGAATTAGTCAAATTTAGCTCGGTTTGATAAATTTTTTAATCCAATTTTCTCCGAAACAAAGCCTCGCGCGAAAAAATTATATTTTACATTTTCGTCTTATTCTTCTCCGTAGAAACGCTCTATATTCAATTGTAGCATCAATTACGGACCACCTTGCATATTCCACGCCATGC